CACGTGCGGCATGGATAGCACACAGGTTGGTGTCTTCAAAAAGGCCAACCAGAGAGGCCTCACTTGCCTCCTGCAAAGCACCGATACCTGTGCTCTGGAAGTGCCTACCTGTTTTAAAGTCCCGAGCAGTGTCTCGCAGCAGACGCTGGAAGGGAAGTTTGCAAATCAGGTCAGTGGGTAACATCTCACCAAGAGCCAGTACCAGGCCTTGAGGATGAACCAGGGTTCTTCGCCCCTCCAGTAGAGGGCGCACTCCTGTGCGTGGCTTTTGCAGCCAGCTGCTTCCTGGGTGCTTTCCTGCTGGTGGATTTGCGGTCAATCGCCTTTGTACCAGCCATGGTATAGAGCCCCCTTTACTCACCCCCTTCTCCTTCTGCTGGAGTTCCGCAAGCGAGAGGCAGTGCTGTGTTGGAGTGCGACCCCTGAGTTTTAATCAATGTTTAAAGCAATACTTGAGGCTGGGCACAGTGGCTCACGCATGTAATCCCAGAATTTTGGGAGGCCAAGGCGGGTGGATCCCTGGAGGTCAGGAGTCAAGATCAGCCTGGCCAACACGATGAAACCTTGTCTCTCAAAAAAAAAAAAAAAAAAAGAAAAAACGAATTAGCTGGGCGTGATAGTCCCAGCTACTCTGGAGGCTGAGGCAGGAGAACTGCTTGAACCCGGGAGACTGAGGTTGCAGTGAGCCCAGAAGATGCCACTGCATTCCAGCCTGGGCAACAGAGGGAGGCTCCGTCTCAAAAAAGAAAATCAATACTTGCACATCATAAAAATGAAATTGGGCCGGGTGCAGTGACTCATGCCTGTAATCCCAGCACTTTGAGAGGCTCAGGTGGGTGGATCACGAGATCAAGAGATTGAGGCCATCCTGGCCAACATGGTGAAACCCCATCTCTACTAAAAACACAAAAATTATGTGTGAAAGTGGGTGCCTGTAATCCCAGCTACTCGGGAGGCAGGGGAATCACTTGAATTGGATGCAGAGGTTGCAGTGAGCCGAGATTGTGCCATTTCACCCCAGCCTGGGCAACAGAGTGAGACTCTATCTCAAATTAAAAAAAAAAGAAATCATACAGAAAACTAAAAAGTAGCAGTGTATTAATCTGTTTTCACACTGCTGACAGACATACCTGAGACTGGGCAATTTTCAAAAGAAAGAGGTTTATGGGGCTCACAGTTCCATGTGGCAGGGGTGGCTTCACTATCATGTGGGAAGGTGAAAGCCACGTCTTACATGGAGGCAGACAAGAGAAGAGGGCTTGTGCAGGGAGACTCCATTTGTAAGACCATCAGCTCTCATCAATGACATTCATTCACTATCACAAGAACAGCATGAGAAAGACCGTCCCCCATGATTCAATTACCTCCCACTGGGTCTCTCCCACAACACATGGAATTCAAGGTGAGATTTGGGTGGGGACACAGCCCCGCCCTATCAGGTAGTAGCTTCTCCTCTAACCTCAGGCTTTCTGTTCCTCACCGCAGATCCTGGCTGTCACTAGTTTCTTGTGTATTGCTCAAGAGACATCCTAAAGCCAAACAAGTGGGCATGCATACACATATGTACATCTTCAGGGGTCACATTAAAAATATTTACCTCGGGTACAACCACCCGGAAGGAGGCCCCGGTGTACAGGATGTGCCAAAGTGCCTGCTGTCTACTACCAGTCTTGTGTTTATTCCTTGCTTTTATACATGAATTTGCCTAAGTTGCTTTTTTCATAGTGATATTTGGAGATTGTTCCACATCGGCACAAGTAGAGCGACTTCACTCTTCAAGGGTGCTATATTTCACCCACTTTCTGCGGAAGGATCTCCAGGTTTTCCCCAGACTTTTGTTACTTGAAACAGTGCTGTAACAAATGTCTTTACACAGCCTGAATTTATCTATCCGTGGCATAAATGTCTAGAGAAGGGAACGCTGGGGAAACAGTATGCACGTATAACATTATCATTGGCATTATTACATTTCCTTCCAAAGAGGTTTATCGTTTTTATCCCCGCCAGCAATGTACATGAGGGCCTAATTTCCCAAACGCAGGCTGACTCGGTATATCTTTATCAGCCCGCAGCATGAAAAGCAGTATGTCACTGATTCGGTTTGCATTTAATCTAAGATTAAATTTTAAGTTTTGTAAAACCAAGTTTATCTCTGTCATTGGAGAAGACATCCATGAACCTGAAAGGCAACAAGCTGATGAGACTGAATTCAAGGCGAAAGGTCGCTGAGAGTGTCTGCCAACCAGGACGATGACAATAGCGTCTGGGTTTTCGCTCAGTGTCACCTCCTTCTCTGTAGAGACGGACAGCATTTGGGAGTGGCGAGTTGTAGGTAGGGAAATTTGTGGTGCTTGAGACACGCTTGAGGGTATGGGAATCTCAAGACAGGTCTGGAGAACAAGGGAGAGTAACAGAAATAATTTAGGAAAGCAAAAAGAACTTAAAGATTATCTGATCTGGGAGAGGCTTACAAAAATTAGCGTTTCAATTGACTATTTCCCGCTATTTCTGCGTTTCATTAACTGGCAGGGATCACTGGACACTCTGCCATGAAATATGTTGGGTGTAGTTAGGGAACCTCACAGGCATCGAACCTGTCTTGTGGTGTTTTGGGGGGAATGAGATGTGCTGTGACAGGCTCTGCTTAAATATCAGTTTCCAGCCCAACCCCAGTTCATTTATTCTGAGGAACTGATGAGCAACACAGGAATATCTGTGTCTGCCTCCAAAATCCTCACATCAGGCTGCTGATTCGACATGGGAACTTTGAATCACATGGAAGAGACTCTAAAGACAGAGAAAAACAGAAAGCCTCACGATGCCCTGAAAAAACCTAGACCATCCCTGAGTTCCCCCAATACGCAAGAAAACCTGAACTATCATTGCTCTCTGTGTACACACACACACACACACACACCCTATCCTCACTGGATGTTGTGTTCTCTCTGTGTACACACACACACACAGCCGCCCTATCCTCACTGGATGTTATGTTCTCTCTGCGCACACGCACGCGTGCACACACACCCACACACACACCCACCCTCTATTCTCACTGGATGTTATGTTCTCTCTGCGCACACGCACACGCACACACACACACACACACCAATCCTCACTGGATGTTATCTCTGCGCGCGCGCACACACACACACACACACATACACACCCCAATCCTCACTGGATGTTATCTCTGCGCGCGCGCGCACACACACACACACACACACACACCCCTCTATCCTCGCTGGATGTTATGTTCTCTGTGTGTACACACACACACACACACACACACCCCTCTGTCCTCACTGGATGTTATGTTCTCTCTGTGTGTGCACACACACACACACACACACCAATCCTCACTGGATGTTATGTTCTCTCTGCGCGCACGCACGCACACACACACACACACACAGACACACACACACGCCTCTATCCTCACTGGATATGTTCTCTCTGTGCACACACACACACACACACACACACCCCTCTATCCTCACTGGATGTTATGTTCTCTCTGTGCACACACACACACCCCTCTATCCTCACTGGATGTTATGTTCTCTCTNTCTATCCTCACTGGATGTTATGTTCTCTCTGTGCACACACACACACCCCTCTATCCTCACTGGATGTTATGTTCTCTCTGTGCACACACACACACACACACGCCCCTCCTCACTGGATGTTATGTTCTCTCAGCACACGCATACACACACACACGCCCCCCCACACACGCGCACATACACACACACACCCATCCTCACTGTATGTTATGTTCTCTCTGTGCACACACTCACACACACACACCCCTCTATCCTCACTGGATGTTATGTTCTCTCTGTGCACACACACACACCCCTCTATCCTCGCTGGATGTTATGTTCTCTCTGTGCACACACACACACACACACACACCCCTCTATCCTCACTGGATGTTATGTTCTGTGTGCACACACACACAAACACACACCCCTCTATCCTCACTGGATGTTATGTTCTCTCTGTGNCCCCTCTATCCTCACTGAATGTTATGTTCTCTCTGTGCACACACACACACACCCATCCTCACTGGATGTTATGTTCTCTCTGTGCACACACACACTCACACACGCACACACCCCTCTATCCTCACTGGATGTTATGTTCTCTCAGCGCACGCATACGCACCCACACGCCCACACACGCGCGCACATACACACACACACACACACCCATCCTCACTGTATGTTATGTTCTCTCTGTGCGCGCACACACACACACACACACACACACACACACACACCCATCCTCACCGGATCTTATGTTCTCTCTCTGTGTATTCTGAGCTTCCGATGTTAGAGTGAGGCGAGGTTTGTTAGGGTCACACCGGAGCCCACGGCGCGATGGCAGAAGAGCCCCACGGTGGGTTCCAGGTCCGCACATCGAGTCCCGCCCCCACCGGATCGGGGACGTCACCGCTCCCGTCCTCCGCTGTTTCAAAACCCAGCGGTTTTACCCCCAGGCCCGCTTCGTGCGGCCTCCTCGGAGCTGCCCCGCTCGGATCCAAGCGCCGCGGCGGTGTTTTTTCGGGTGTTCCCTGCGGCCGCCAAGGCCCCGCTCCCGGCCCCTCCCGGCGCTGCGGCTGGGGCTCCCCCCAAGGCCCCCCTCCCCTTCCCAGCGC